ATGTCAGTCCAGTGAATTTATTGGATGAAAACCTGTTCTATCTGTTCGGTCATCCGTCAGCTCCTGTCCCCCTTATTAGTCTTGTCTTCCTCCTCCTTTCCCCCCCCCCCCCTTGCTCTCCCCCCCCCCTCCCCCCCCTCTTAAGATCTCCGAGTTCTCACCATGCACAGAATTGTCAGCAGCGAGTTTGCGCCTTTAAGCAGCTGGACGGCGAAGGCCTCAGGAGCGACGCCAGCGAAGACAAGCTCGCTCTGAGCGACCGCCATGCACGTGCCGCTGATGCCACAGAGAGCCGCGAGGAAGCGACTGCGAACCAAGACCCTCTCAACCAGCCCCCGATCCCTCCGCCACTGAAGCCTCCTGCTCTCCAGTGAGCTCCTCCTCCCATCCACATACCCCTCCTCTCCACCACCACCCCATCCCTCATGCATCCACCACCTCCCCCTCCCCTCCCCCTCCTCCTCCCTCCCCCTCCTCCTCTCCTCCTCCTTCTCCCCTTGTCCCTCGCCTTCTCTTGACTCACTTGCTCAAGTAGTAGCGACTTCGGAGGGCCTCGACGGCCTCGTAGAAGTTGTCTATCCTGTCTTCCCGGTAGCTCTGGTATGCGGAGCTCGTTCGCCGCTGCCGCGGCAGCAGCACGATGCTCTTCCTTCGCTTGATTGCCTTGACTGTGTTCAAGAGCTCTTCCTCCGCCTCCAGATCAGGCGGCTGCCGACGGAAGGAGGAGGAGGAGGGAGAGAGTTTGAGGCGGAGAGAGAGAGAGGAGGCGGTGAGTCGCTTCATACGCGCGTAGAGGAGGTCAACTTTCATGTTGGGGCCCAGGCACGCGTTCAGTTCCCTCACTGACTTCTCCTTGGCCCTCTCAAACTCCATCCACCTCCCGTACCGTCCCATGCCCGTCTCCTCCCCACTCCCCCACCAGCTCCACCAGCCCCTCCTCGTCCTCCGCCCCTTTCCCTCCCTCCTCGCCTTCCTCTTCGCCCACCAGCTCTGGATGAGGAGGGCGGCGAGGTGGAGGAGGCGAGCAGCAGCTTTCTCGCGGTCGAAGAGGCACATCGCCGACGTCTCCTCGTCCGTGTACATGAGCACGTGACTCAAGGATGACGTCAGCGCCGCCACAAGCAGAAGCCCAGCTACGTTAGTGATAGCCCCCACAACCCTCCCACCATACGTGGTCGGTGTGACATCTCCATACCTGTCTTGCCCATCAATTTCTCCTCCTCATCTTCCTCATCATCATCATCTTCTTCTTCTTCTTCTTCTTCCTCCTCCTCCTCCTCCTCCACCACCAGCAGCTCTCCTCGTCCTCTCTCGTCCTTGTTCCCCCATCTCCTCCTCCTCCTCTTCCATCACCACCACCACCACCACCACTTTTCAGCACTCCTCCTATTGCTGCTACTGCTACTACTCTCACCTTGATCATCATCATCATCATCATCATCATCTCCATCATCATCATCATCATCATCATCTCCATCATCATCTCCATCATCATCTCCATCATCATCATCACAAAGTCTTTGCCTCTCCTCTCGCTCGCTCGCTCACCCGACGGTGGTGCTGGTGGTGAACATCGCCCACATGGCGTTCTGAATGTAAAGATCGTTGACCTGACCGAGGATTCAGCAGCTGCAACGAAGGAGAAGAGCAGAGACACGAGGAGAGACGAGCGCGAAGGGCGTGTAGGAGGTCAGGAGGAGGACGAGGACGAGGACAAAGAAGAGGACGAGGACGAGGACGAGGACCTTTTCGAAAGCTTCAGCGTTGGTTGTGGTGTTGTGCTCCCCGTGAAAGCTCATGACCCAGACCTTGGCCTCCTCGCTCTCACATAGCGGGTGCTGGCTGGTGCCGAAGAAGCAGGCGGAGAGCTCGAGGCAGCGGAACCAGTAGCCGGCGATGACGATGAGAAGCAGCCACAGGGCTGCGATGAAGCTGAACGCTTGCGGGCTGTTGAGAATGCGCTTGAGCACGAAAGCTGAGTCCATGCGGACGCCGGTGAAGGAAGAGACGGTGTGTCTGCGAGGGAGAGAGGAGATGGCAGAGTCGCGGAAGCACTTCCAGAAGAGGAGGAGGCGGAGGAGGTTGAGGGCGGCTCCGAGGGTCTCAAGGCGGTAGCTCAGGAAGTTGTTCCAGTTGTAGAGCGGCACCTCCAAGGATAGGAAGGGAGGAACGTGCAGGCAAAACAGCCCCACCTCCCCCCACAGCCTCCAACTCCCCAGCAGCTCCCCCAGCTCCACCTCCTCCTTGAGCACGTGCAGAGCCCTCAAGTGCAGTCGGATGCGCTCGAAGAGGATGTCGAGGGAGTAGAGGCGGAGGGTGAGGAGGAAGAGGAGGAGCGAAAGAAGCGAGTTCAGCCCCTTCAGCCCGTTGATCACGTTTTCCTGCGGGTTCATCCCACGGATGACCAGCTCGTTTTGCAGACATGCCGCGATGCTTCCACAGCAGCCGACAATGGCAGCAAGCAGGCGCGTTCTCTTCATCCTCTTGTCCACCTCATCGCGATTTCTTCTCCAAGGCTGCGAGGACCTGCTGACGAGCAGCTTCCCCCTGGTCTCCTTGCTCCCTTCCGCCTCATTCTTTCCCTCCTCTCTTATGCTCCTCCTCCCCTTGCGCAGACTCACCCGACTGCCTTGTGAGCCTATGGAGTTGCGGCGTGGGGCCGGAGATTTCTGCTCGTCCTCGAGCTCAGGGCGAGGGAGGGAGGGGGCCTGAGGCTTGTATGAGGAGGAAGCGCTCGATGTCTCGTCCTTGTCTAGAGGGGTGGCGGAGGGAAGAAAGTCTGAGGCTGGGGGCAGGCTTGACTCCACAAGAGCAGAGGAGTAGAGGAAGGAAGAGGGGTGGATCTTGTTCGACGAGGAGGAGCTTCTTCGCTGCGTCTTGGGCGTTGGGTGCCGCGAGTCAATGTTCCGCGAGTCTGTCCACGTCAACGACCTCTCTCCTTCCTCGCCCGCCCCCTCCCTCCTACTCTGACGCAGCTGCTTGATCCGGGAAATGACGCGCATCCGATCTCCGACGAGCGTCACTCCAGCCTCGCGCAGCGCTGCGTTGAGCAGGATGTCGTTGTCGACCTGGAGAAGGGTATGAAGGTCCAAGCCAGCTCGCTTGAGCACCGCCTGCACGTCCTCCTCTTCCCCTAGCGACTTCATGCTAGTCTGCTCTCGTCACAGTCGTCGACGCATCGGCCATGACACGATTAACGAGGTCGACATGGCTCCCTGCTGCTTTCCATCATAGGCAGCTGAAACAGACAATCAGGCGATGCGGACAACCCAAAACGCTCAATGTTATGAGAGTAAAGCCTATTTCAATCTTGATCGCTTCTCGTCCTCCTCTCCTCCATATTCTCCCTTGACTCCCATCTTTTGCATCGCTCAATGCGTATGAAACGCGATGCTCTAGTCCATATCCTGTGACATTTCCAAACGGCTCCCTTCTCTCCTGCGTTCTCATCTAATTCCTTCTTGTCCCATCCGTAGTCTCCTCTCCTCTCCTCTCCTCTCCTCTCCTCTCCTCTCCTCTCCTCTCCTCTCCTCTCCTCCTCTCTTCTTCTCTGTCTTCTCATGCGAGGGTCTACTTAGTTCATGGCAGTTTTTCGGCATACTGATACCAAATCCCACCCCACCCCTCCCTGTGACTCAATTCTGGGTCGGGGTGGGGGTAAGTCCAGTAGTCATGGAATCTGAGTGGAATCTTGGTTCCAGGGGGTGGGGTGATAAAGGGTCATACAGGGGCGATGGGGGGTGGGGGTGGGTACCATGACCTAGGGACACCCACATCTACCCATCTAGTTTCAACCCAAGGAAGTTTAAAACACTTGAGATAAATATTTTCTGTAATATTTGAAATATTCTGAGACATTTTCAAAATAAAAGATTTCACGAGTGACTCTCAGAGTGGTTGGGTATCACTTAGTACTGCGTCCGTCATGGTACTAAACCAACCCCACTAAACTAAACCGACTAACTAAACTCAACCGTTCAACCAACTAAACTAAACCGACTAACTAAACTAAACTTCCGGCAAGTTGGGCCAGTGACACTAAACAACTTGCGGCTACTTATTGACTCTCAGTTAGTCTCGAGGCCGCCGCGCCGCGCGCTCACGGTTCGACAGTTCCAACTTTCTTTACTCCGAAAGTTAAGTCCAACAATCATGATCATGTGAATCTGACGGACGCCGGGCCCCCCGGCCCCAGGCGGTCAGTGGCCGCCTAAACGGCTTAGTAACTTGTTATGATGAGTCACCGGCGTGGCTCAGTGCCCGGTGCTGAGCCACAGTCACGGCGGCCGCGGCCCGCCGGGGGCCGGGTGAACGGCGGGCGGCGGGCGGTTTGAGCACTGGCCCTCCCGGACTCAGGCCCTGGCAAGTTTCAACTGGCAGTCACTGATTTTCCCACTTCCGTTAATTTCAGAGCTAGCAGAGAAGATCGGTCGTACTATTCAACGAGAACGACAAAAGTATTCGAATGTGAAGAATGCGCGATTATTTATCAGCAACGCGGATTTGGCTCGTTCTTTTTGGCAGCTTGAAGTGAATCCTGATCATCGACATATTACATGTTTCATAACAAAGTTGGGCAAGTTCGAGTTTACGAGACTTCCATTCGGCTTGATACATTCAGGCAATCAGTTTCAAAAGTTCTTAGAGAGTGTGTTGACTGGAATAGATAATTGTTTCTGCTACGTGGACGACGTCGTGATAGTTTCATATGGTACATTGGAGCAACATGAACAATTGATTCGTCGCTTGCTCACGCGCTTCAGAGAGGAGAAATTGTTCGTGAAAAAGAAGAAATGTAATTTCTTTGCACAAGAGATCGATTTCTTGGGTTTCAGAATCAATGAACAAGGCATCACTGTACAAATTGACAAGGTGGACGCGATGTTAGCTCGTCCAGCGCCCACTACTGTGAAAGAGTTGAAATCGTTTCTAGGAGTAACGAATTTTTATAGGAAGTTTGTACCAGGATATACGAGCGTTGTCCTACCTTTGCTGGATTTGCTACGCAAGAATGCAAGGTTTGAATGGTTGACGGTACATCAGACAGCTTTTGAACAACTTAAAAAGTGTTTGAGCTCCGCACCTGTGTTGGCGTACTCAGGTTGGCACCGGGCCGGGCCCGGTGCCAACCGTACTAACCGTCCGATACGGTCATCCGAGGAGTTCAAGCCGAGTCAAACTTGACGGTGACCGTAGCCCTGCCAGGGCTAACCGTTGACAGTGAACGGCGCCGGGGGCCGGTGGCCCGCCAGTGCCAATGCGCCGCATTCGTTCCGACCTGTGTTATGTGCAAGTAACTTAGTAAAGAGTTTTACTCGCATAAGGTAAAAAGTGCCTCAAGCAGAAGAAAGCAGCAACAAGCAAAAACGTCAGGCCCGGCATAGAGCACACAGCACTGCGCGGCAACAGAAGCGGTCACCGGGTGTACGGAACACTGACAGGAACAAACGCAGCGCAAACACACGAAACATAAGACCGAAAGTAACCAGCCGCTGAGCAGCTAGCTAGCAACCAGACCGTCCCTACACTGCTGCCAGCCTGGCACGCGGGAAGCAACGTAGACAAGCGGTGTTTCGTACACCGCTTTTGTTGCTGTGTGCTCTCTGCCTGCCCGGCGGTTTTGCTTGTTCAACGGTTGCTGCTTTCTTCTGCTTGAGGCACTTTTTACCTTCTGCGAGTAAAACTTCAGAGATCGTGGGTCTGTTCTGCCAGTACTATAGGATTTACTGGCAGAAGATAAAAAGTGCCTCAAGCAAAACAAAGCAGGAACAAGCTGAACCGGCAGGTACACAGTCCACAGCGAGAAGCTGCACAATCACACACAAAACACAAGCCCGAAAACAACCAGCACTGCTGGCACCCAGACGCGGCAGCGCCAGCCCAAGCGCGAAGCCGCGCAGACAAGCAGCCTAAGGGTCAAGCAATCAAGCAACAAGCAGCAGGAGCATGCAGGAGGAATAAAATCCCTTACACGCGATACCCGGAGGCAGCCGACTGACCACTGTCAGTCGAGACGTCCGCTGCCGCCACAAAGCGGGCGGCCGCGGACGGAGAAAGGGCAGCCGCCGACAAGGAGCCGGCGTTGCCCGGGGGTCCGCCTGGGGCAGCGGACGGAGGGAGGCTGGACACATGAACACGGTACCGCTCGAGGTAGTCCTCCTCGCTAGCCTCCGAGTCAGCGGTAGCCAAGTCAGTGGTAGCCGCCCGTGACGGCGGCGACGCCGCGGCAATGCCCAAGGACCGGCGTGACCCGGCGACCGATGCCGGGGAGGAAGCAGGCGAGCTCGGACCAGCAGCAAGCACCCCAGTGGTGTCGAGCTCTCCGGAGGCACCCGACGTCACAGTGAGGGACGGAGACGCTTCGCCAGCTCCGCGCCGATCGTCGGGGCCACTCGACCTGGTTCCCCCATCGGAGTCGGAGACCTCCGGCGAAGACTCCCCCTCGGGCGACTCGACAAAGTCCGAGGAGGAGCTGTCCTCTGGCTCGAGAAGTGCTTGCGCCCGCAAGGGCGTCATGCGCCTCGCACCAGACAAGAGCGCCTCCAGCGTCAGCTGCATGGTGAGGCGCTGATAGGTGGCGGCGCGTTTGCGAGCCAAGACCTCAGCAGCAGGTCCGTCATCAGGCACGAAGTGCCGACCAAACGCCGCATCCTCAAGAGGCATCGAGCGCTGAGCAATGATGTCCGCCAAATACCAGATGAAGCGGAGGGTGTCAGGATGCAGGGTACCGTCCGTCGAGATGGCAAGAGGGATGAACGCTCGAGGAGGAGTAGTCATGGCATATGCAGCGCGATGTTTGCGAATCTTCTCAGACGCTGCAACATGGAGGGCGTCGAGGTTGACCTCCCCCCACTTGGTCAGGTCGGCAGAGCTACCAATGTAAGGGTGGACCAACGTCACGTCCGCCATCAAGCCCTCGTACTGCTCGGACCCTCGATCGCGGATTCCAGGGATGTGGATATCGCCCTTCATCTTGCGGCCATGAGGATGGGAGGGTACCTGCCGTCGAGAACGAGGATCCCCCACTGTATCGATGACGCTCTGAAGACCAGCTTCGTTCAGCATCGACCGAATCGTACGAGTAAGGTTGTCATGCGCCGTGGGAAGCTTGGAGGATCGGCGTTTGCAGGTCTGGAGATGATGTGCAGCAACGGAGGGATCGAGCTCGCGCTGACATCCATCACATTCCGTCGGACACTGGCAGATCGGCATGCCATGCAGATAGCAGTCGAGCATCTGAGCATAGCGGTGCGGGAAGGCCTTGAGGGGGTAGTAGCTCGAGACTCGCATCGGAGAGTGGCTCAGGTCTCGCTCAGGAAAATGAGCGAAGATGGTAGACTGCAAGACCCTATCCTGCGACTTGAGCGAGTGTGTCCTGCGGCTGTGCAAGGTGAGGATATCACGCTGCTGATCGGTCAGCGCAGCGCGAGCATGCACATGTCGAGGGAAGACGCGCATTACAAGAGGAGTCACATTTCGCTGCGCAGGGGGAGGAATGAAGTGCTCATGAGACGAGTCGACGAGAGCGCGCAAACCAGGGATGTGTACCACAGATGCCGGGGGGCGTCCTGCGTCATCAGGCACAGCAGCCGGGGCAGGTGGGATCGCCGCGCCATCTGCAGCCGGTGCAGGAGCCTTGACACGACGGTAGAGGATCGCTCCAGCATTATGAACGAAGTCGTGCGCCTCAACGAAGAAGGTCGCCAGAGGATGCTTCTGGGCACGGAGAGATCTCGAGCAGTGAACGTCCAGGCTATGAGGAGAGGGCAACATCCGGGACATGGGCTGGTCAGAGTACCAAGCGAGGAAGCGAGCGATAGCCGTATAGTAAACAGCGGGGTGTAGACCCTCAGAGGGCGTGAACTCGTCCCCTCCCCGACTATGCGGAAGCTCCCGCTTGAACCTCGCAAACTCTAGCAGGTCGGGATGCGCGGCAAGGTACTGCGAGGAAGGCCAGCGGTGGTATTTCTCAAGCGCCAGGTGGACAGAGAGGTCAAAGCGACGAATCTGTGATTGGACCCGCGGGAGAAACGGAGAAGACCCCTGGAGGAAGAAGCGCAGCTTCTGGAGATGGCTCGCCCTCACCAGCGTCTTGAACATGAAGCCATGCTGGACGAGCCCGAGCTTCGAGAGCTCTTCGTTGAGG